CATCTGTTCCGGTCGATGCAGAACTCCCTGGCCGAGAGAAAATTCACAAACCGCGAAAAAGGTCCAACTCTGGGTGTCCAACTTCTTTGAGTCGCAGCCGGTCGAGTTCTTCAGAAGAGGAATCCATTTTTTGCATAAATGTTGACAACAAGTCATTGATACTAATGGAGATTGTCTTTTGAATTTATCTTGTTTAATTTCGTTTTTATAATAAAAAATTTTTTAAGCTCGAACGCGCATTCCTTTCCGGACAACCTAATATTTGCGGCAGCGTAGCGTAGCGTAGCGCTTCCAGCGTTTCACGAGCGTTTCACTAGCGTTTCGCTAGCGTTTGCCAGCGGCGGGGCTAGAGAGTATAGAAGAGTAGGAGAGTATTTTGTACTCTCCTACTCTTCTATACTCTCTAGCCCCGCCGCTGCAAACGCTAGCGAAACGCTAGTGAAACGCTGGGAGCGCTAGATCGATAGCTATGCTTCCCGTGCCCTCGCTACGCTAGCGTACGCTGGTGACGCTGGTGAACGCTAGATCGATATCTATCCTTTCCCCGACACTGCCGCTGGCGTACGCTGGAAGCGCTACGCTACGCTGCTGCAAAGTATAAACGCAGTTTTGAATATTCCCTTGTTCAGATTTTCTCGCTATTCCTGTACTGATTATTCTTGTAATTTAGCATGTTCTAGTTGATGACTTGTTTTGCGATGATGCGACAGATATACCTGTTGAAGTTTGCTCATAGAATATGCGGATCATTGAACCTTTATATTACATGTTATTCTCAATGATGTCTTGTTACAAAGTTGCTAAGTCTTTATTACTAAAGTTTGAAGTTTGGGCTGCACCTATCTGCCACACAACACCTATCTGCCACACAAAATTGAATCAACGGGCAATAAATTTACAAACTACGCTTCAAATTCTTCATATTTACGTTAACTGTAAGGCGCTCATTCCCTCCAGGGGGGGGGGGGCAGGTATACCTCAAGTGCATCCTACCACGCCGTGTAAAGACTAATTTGCACGTGTGAACTAGTTCCCGTTATAAGCAAGAAGCCATCCAAGGCGCTGATCGCAAGTTCCTGTCGATTTTCAGCGGAGCAGCATGCGGATAATAAATTCGTAAAGAGGTTTAGCAGTGCGAGTGGAGTTAAGCGGACAGACCAAATGGTTCTGGAGCAAATAATTAACGAAAATGGACAGGTGCGTGGTAAGGTTCAGGTTGGAGAAGGTACAGTCAGGCTCAAGTCACAAGCTACTCAGTTCCGCGATGCTGTGCGCGCGTGCCGGCCTGCTCATCGTGCACGCAAGGAGTTATCAGGTGGTACCGGAATGAGTCTTCCACCCAGTGAACGCGCCAGTCATAACAACCTTTATTA